AATGTTGGACAGCATAGTTGTCATAGATATATCCCAATTTAAACGATAAACTCATAGACTCATACATCATATATGAGAAAAAAAAGATTATTAATAATGTACTATTCTGATAATGAAAGTACAAACTTATATAATTATAACCGTCCTGAAATTTATATATAACATATAATATTCCTCGATAAAATGTATATATAAAATATAGTGCTATGTGCAAATAAAAAATAGTGTCCTAATAAAAATACATATTACACCATATAATTAATGTTCAAAATAAACATATGAGCAGATATGAGTCAATGTACATATTAAAACCATGCGCGTGGACTTAAAAAAAAAAAAAAGCTCGTAAAACGGTGAAAAATGAATTGAATTAAATTGATTTTTTTATTATATCTCAGAAATGTCANATGAATTGAATTAAATTGATTTTTTTATTATATCTCAGAAATGTCATTGGGCGGGTCTGAAGAAAATTTCAAACTTTAAGTCGTAAAACGCTGGCGTCAGCGAGCGGCAAAAATTTTCCGACCTTCGCCAATAATGTTCCCGGAGTCTGGTGACCGAGTACTTTCGTTGAAAAAAAAAATTTTGAAAATCCGAGCAAGTTAAGTAATTTTTCCAGAAAAGCGTTTTTTTTCTTGTTCTATTATATAATAAGATAAAAAAAGTATATCTCAATGGGGTCACGGCTCTGTTTAGATTTATCATAGTTGAAATAAATAAAGGATACTAAAAATTTACTTTTCTGACACCATTTTTATGCTAATTTCAAATCTAAAATTAGATTTTATCTATCACCTCTTTTTAGAGATTATTACTATCAGTAAAAAAGAAGAAATAATTTAATAAAAAATATTAATAACAAAAGTTATTTTTTCAAATTATTATTGATTTTTAATATTTTTAAAATAATCGTTCAAAATTTCGATTCATAATTTCACTTTTAACCTATTTTTCGCCCTCCAGATTTGATTTTAACTTAAGTCAAAAAAAAGTTGGAACTTTTTCTTAGTTCAAATTGCAAGATTGATATTGACGTCATTACCATGACAATTTTAAAAATAGTTAAAAATGTTAAGATTAATATTCAGTTTGGAAATTTTGATGGTTAATTATGATAGCGTAAAGACTTTATATGAACCAAATAACAATAATAAGTAAAAATCCTAAACAATAATGGATTATCATTAAAATTTTCTTACCGATTTAAAACATAATAATTTTACAATTGTATTTAAATTCGGTAAGTCTCTCATTTTGTCAATGTAAATGATTATTACGACTAACCTAATTCGACATTGTAAAAATATTATTAAACTGACTAATTTGGTTTAACTATAATTAATAAAAATTTTAGAAGATAAACTAAAAGTTATACTTTTAATAAACATTATATAATAGAACTTACTTTTTTTCGAATCGCAAAATAACTAAAAAAAATTGAGAGGATTAATTTAATGCATCTTTTGAATACTTCAATTTTAGAATCTAATATAATACCAAGATTTGTATAGAAATAATTACTAAGACTTCTATGTAAATAATTTATTACGATAAAAATTTAAAAAAAAACGGTAGCACAGTGGGGTCGAGGCACAGTGTGGACGAGGCATAGATGGGACAAGTATAGATGATATCT